CCCAACAATTTATTGCATAAAAGATATATTTTTGTGCGCAGCGCTGTGTACGTCAGTTACATTTTCAAACAATCTTACGCTAGCAAACCTGAACATTTAAGTACGCAGTAAAGTCATGTTAAACATCATTATTTTTTTTATTTTTTGCATCAGATGATAAATTTTAGCTTTTAATAGTAGAATAAAGATCTATAAATTTGTTCTTTAATAAATCTTGGTGTGAAATTAGTGAGGAATTCTTTATAGTACTTTTTGTCCAAGTTGCCCAAAAGAGCAAGACGACAACCTAATTGAAGTAACTACAAGAAAAGTCTCCAGATCTGGAATGAGGAAGTGGATCCAAATGGCCGCTTCACTTGGCACAAAACAAACAAACACCCTACACCCTAGGGGACTGTATATACCTATGGGCCCCTACGAAATCACCTCCATGTGTATTCGCAATCCCACCCGCCAAGTCCATCCAAATGCCAAAAAAATAAGGGTCAAAATATCATATTCAATTTTGATCCCAATAAACTTAAAAGATTTAAAAAAAAAAAAGTGAAATATATAATCAACATAAAAAATATCCCAACACGAAACTAATGTGACAAATTTTAATAAGAACTTGAGCACTTTCAGCTTCACTTCATTTTCTTTTTTCAAATGTAATGTGTTTTAAAAGTTTGTTATGGTAAATAATCTTGATAAAAATCAACTTTAGGGTTTATTTTTTTTTTTAATTATTTTTAATTTTCTAATATATTAAAATATATGAGAAAGCACTTGTACATAAATGCATATATGGAAAAGGATTTACGGATTGCGTGCGTATAAAAGTTATTTGAAGAAAATATTTGCGTACGTAAGACGTCTGGTAGGTTACAGGGAGTGTATTAGGGGTTATATCCGCGTTATACCTCCTGTGACCTCCCAGTTATCTACCTGTAACTAGTAAGTTTTGCGCTTCTGTTTTCATATATTTCTAAGTTACATGTAGGTTACAAAGATGTTACAGGAGGTGTAATGCGGATATAACCCTCAATACCATCCTTGTAACCTACCTGACGTACGCAGCGTTGCGTAGTGTTTTCATATATTTCTAAGTTACAGGTAGGTTACAAAGATGTTACAGGGGCTATAATGCGGATATAACCCTCAATACCATCCTTATAACCTACCTGACGTACGCAGCGTTGCGTAAATCTTACGTAAAAAAATATTTATCGGTTATTTGGAGGATATTGCAGGGTTAAGTCGCTGTTATTGGGGTTAATACCTTCAATAACCTTACAAAACCATCGAATGACAAGAAAAAAGATGAGCGCCGAACCTCGAAATGTATTGCTAGTTTATTGGGAGGGTATTGAGATGTTATTGGGGTTAATACCTCCAATAATTTCTTAATAATCCATAATAACTAAATTGTTGGAAGATTATTCGGGATCATACGCACTCAGAATAGCATGTGTGTGACGTACGTAAATAGCGCTCACATATATGATGCATAATTATAACTGAAGATTAATACCATGAAGGTGTCGCCGATGTTGACGACAAGTGCGCCGGGTACCGGTGTGACCACGCGCCACTCGCCGTCAGAGAAAACCTGGAGTCCATCAACTTCGTCTTGCTGCAGAAGGATTGTTAGGGATGTGGGGTCGCAATGCGGGCCTGTACCGAAGGTGAGCTCTGGCTCCTGGCATGGAGGGTAGTAATTGCACCTCAATATATTGTTGCTATCGGCGAAGAACTCCGGGTAGTGCCGGCGATCAAGCCCCAGGCTTATTCCCAGCAGCTCCATAATGGAAAGTGAAAGTTTTGTCATTGCTTTATATATATATGTATATATGTATATATATATGCATGTATGTTATTATTGGAAAAATTGACATTTTTAAACGTAGTATTATTTTTTTAATTATATATTTATTTTCTAGAAGCAATGCTTCCTGATTAATCATGTACATGCACATTGAAAATGATATTGAAAATCAATCGCTTTTACTAGTTTTGGATGATGTGTAATGCTGTTTCTTCCAATAATTTTATGTTATTTTAATTATCGATATTATTAAGATATTAGTTCATCAATTTGTTATGAATCAGTCTCTTAATCAAATATTTGGGATGAAAGTTGAATTTTTAGTAGGACCAAGGTACTGCTAGAGAAAAATAACTTTCATGTGAAATTCATACAAGAAATTAAGTTTTCTTCAGAATTCTCCAAGGAATTAAGCGATTTAGGATCTGTTTGGGGCAGTTTATAAGTACGGGGAGTTTTTAAAAACGTCGCGGTACCGTTTGTATCACATATTTTGCCCGCTTATCCAAAAACGCGATACCTATTTTACATTAAACGCAGGTCGCGATGTTCGCCGACCCACGCGTCACGTTTCAGGATAAGCTGATTATCTTAAAACGCACAAGCTGTCTCAAACTCAAGGTGCATTTGGGGCAGCTTGTGCGTTTCAGGATAAGCAGTTTATCCTAAAACGCAGCCCGTGTAAAAATGGAACAACGTTTTTGGATGAGCGGGAAAAATACGCTATCCAAACGGTATTGCGACGTTTTTAAAATTATCCCCGTACTTATAAGTTGCCCCAAACGGACCCTCACCCTTACATGTTAACTGTTTTATATTAGCTTATGCATTATCATAAGGCCCTATAATTTTTGAAGAACATTCAGATTTAAATAATAATTTTAGCATGAGAAATAATATTTTCAAACATATCTTTCAATTAATATGTATGGGAAGAGCTTAATATAGGCGTAAGTTACAATGGGCGAACTTAATATATGCTTAGAAAGAATATTGAAAAAAAAAAACATATTTTTTTAATGGATGAAGGCAGTAATTTTCCTCCATCGCATCTTCAAATGATTATTAAAATCCTGTAATTAAAATTCAACGTGTGTGGAATTTAGATAGCAACGCATACAGAAACTCCATCCAATTCATCAGAAAAGAGGATCATTTCCATCTTCTTACCCCATTTCCTTGAAGCCGTCCCCCAAAGTAGAGGTTAGATGGTCAACGATGGCGGAGTGTGAGGATACACTATCGTAGCCAAAAGAAAGAGTTTCCTTCCATGGCAGCTTGTCACTGAAACGATCAGAATGAGCCCCGGCATAGCCCCACTTGCCCTGCTCCTTTCTTCTGGCCTTTAATTTGACAGCAAGAGGGAGCTTAAAGAACTCATCAATGCAATTCAGGGCATCTTGCAAGAGGGAAGGGTCCACGCCATGATTTATAACTTGGAAGAAGCCATGGTCTGTGCAAGCAGAGTAGGCTAGATCGACGGCTATGTTTGTGGATTCTTCGTCGCCATTCAGGAGGCCGGCGAGGTCGATGATGGGGGCTTTAAGCTCTTTACATGAGCTGGATTTGTCTGTCTGTGGCCAGAAAAACTGGCATGGTATTGAAGCTTGGTTGCGGAGGTGGGTGGAGTCGAAAGTTATGATTTTGGTGTTGTGGCCTTCGTTGGAGACTTCCTCTGTGTTCGTGGACTGCTGCTCTGGAGAAGTGGGGGGTGAGTCCATGGGAGCGTATGAAGGTAGAGAAAGAGAATGCGAGGAAGCACTCTTGAAGGCGAAGTGTGAGTATGTGATTTAGGGTATTTGTAGAGGGAGGCAGGTAAAGGACAACGGAAGAGCTCAGAGGAGTGATGATGGGGTTCATAATTTTTTAGAATATGTTGAAGTGAGACAGGGGAAGTGAGTAATAGGGAGGAAATGACCAGAATGACCATTGAACCAAATTATACTATAAATGATGACAAAAAACTATAAATAATGTGTGCTGCCAAGCAATTAAGTTTGAAAAAAAAATGGTTAATATTTTTAATTATAATGTAAGGTTTTATCATGATGAATTGTTTATTTTATATAGTTTGGATATAAGACCATCAGTAAAGTTTTTCATATAAACTATTTATCCATAAGAGTTTAATGGAGTTAGTCATTTTCTTAGCTGCATCTTTAATCACTATTATTTAAATGCTAGCTTGCTTATCATGTTTAGTCATAATTAAAAAATGTTATGATAGCTCAAATCGATGAAAGTGAAATCTACTTGAATTGGCTAATAGTGAGAAATATAACATGTTTAATGATTTTTATATACATTTTCATCACTATGTTCTTATCCTATTACTAGCTTACTGGATTCAAGACATGTGCTAGCTTATGACAAGGTGGAATCACATGTGGACATAGTATTGTATTTGTTAATACTAATTTATTTAATCATCTGTTAGATGGTGAAGCTTGAAGATACTCTAACCATAGTTATCCTAACTTTACAGCTAAACCATGCAACTTTAGGTTTGCCTTATATGCAGATAGATTCGCACCGTACAATTACAATGCAACACCCTATTCATGTTGGCCAGTGATTATTACACCATATAATTTGCCCCTCCTTATGTACATGACTGTGTCATTCTTATCTCTGATGTTGGTCATGCTAGGTTCACATAGCCCAAAGAAAAAAATTGACACCTATTTACAACCTCTAATACATGTGCTTCAAATATTATGGAAAACAGGCAAGTCGACTTATGATATTGTTACAAAATATAATTTCGTGTTGAAAATTCTCTTTTTTGGACGATTAGTGATTTTTCGACTTATGGGATACTAGCTGGTTGGAGCACAACCAGGAAATTGGTTTGTCCTTACTGAACGGATATGTCCAAGGCAATCACTTTAGAGAATGAAAGAAAAAATTTCTAGTTTTATTGTCATCAAAGGTTTTTTTGCCTGTTATCACCCAATTAGAAGTAATGGAGACACATTCTTCAAAAGAGAGTTGAAAAATCACGTCCACCCCCAAGGATTATTGTGGCTGATTTGGTAAATGATCAGTGAAATGTCAAAGATCACCGAGAGAGTAGAACTAGATTCAAGTTGTCTTCTTGATTTCATTGTTACATGAAACTGAACAAAATGAAGTATTTTCTGGGATCTTTTATACTAGAGAACTAAATTGATTAGACACAATCTTGATGTTATGTATATTAAGAATACTTTTTTATAATAAATTAAATATTGTGATGAATACTAAGGGAAAAATAAAAAGATATTGTCTTAAGAAGATTGGACCTGAAGAAGTATTACAAATGGAGGGGGTTACAGCTTCAAGAGACAAATACATATAAACTAATAAAGTTGAATGCTAAAAACTATCTCACATTAGATCAACAAAAAATAATATTTGAATGGATGCATTCTCTAAAATTTTCTAGTGGATATGTATCAAACTTGAGCCGTTGTGTTGACTTGGGAACGTGAAAGATATTTGACATGAAGAGCCATGACTGTTATTTTTTTAGTAGTGCTTATTACTAATTGCATTCAATTCCCTATCAAAGGAGGTATTTGATCCATTGATCAAAATCAGTGTATTTTTTAAAGGAGTGGTACATAGGGACTCTGAATGTTGATTTATGGAGAAAGCTTGAAGTGAGTATTCACTTATTATTATAGAAGCTTGAGCAGATATGTTCTCGTAGTTTCTTTGACTCTATAGAGTATTTGCTCATACATCTATGCTATCGGGATATAGTAGGGGGTCCAGAACAATACATATGGATGTATCCATTTGAGCGATAGGACTTCTTAATGTGTAAAGTTACACGTTGCATTTTATTTTAGACTAATTTACTAATATATTTATTCAAAAATATCTACATCTTTGAGATTGTTAAATAAAATAAAAAACAGTTAAAAATAAAGCACATCCGTGAAGGTTAGATATGTGAGGTATAATTGCTGCAAGAGAATTACCTTATGTTCCTATGAGTTTGAGCAAGGGCAACATATACATAAAAATATTAGTGACAACACTTCATAGTCAGAATTATCTGTATTTCAGATATCAGGAGAACCATTAGGGAGACATGATACACATTACCTCGACGAAAAAGAGTTTCAAGCAATTTTATTGTATATTTTGTTGAACTGCGATGAAGTGCATCCACTTATAAAGTAAGATTTATTGTAATAAAAAAATTTTCTCGGTTATTATTCAGAATGTTATACTAATTAAATCCAACATATAAATAAAAATGATGTGAGTAGGTTATTTACCGACATTTTGCAGATTGGGGATGAAACTCTAATAAGCAAGATGATTGAAGAAGAATTTCGACATGATTTAAATTATATATATGTTGAAATAAATCTTGAATTCACTAGTACATAATATAATTTTTATGCTTAAGAAAAAAACTAATTTTACTCTGGAACATCTTATAGGTTCATAATATAAGCAACAAAATTATAGATTGGAAATTACTAGATCTTGCTTGGAGGCCTAATCATAGTATCACAACATGATAAATATTTGATGTGAGTGGTTATATATTTCATATGAGTTCTTGGTGTGAAGGGAAGAAGACATATAATTGTGGTGTTTGTATTAAAGGAAACACACACTAAAAATAGTGAGATCAGCTACTATGACATATTTGAAGTAGTTTACTTGCAACATCCGGGTCAAGTTGCACACAACGTACATATGTTCAACTGTGAGTTGTTTGATTATGTTACTATTCGAGGAACATGAACACTAAAACCATATGAAATTGTCAAAGTTAAAATGAACAGAAGTTAGCATATTTTGAGTTATTTATTTTAGCACGTCCAACTAGTCAAATTTATTACCTTCTATACTCTAGTAAATAAAATGATAAAATTGATTTAGATGTCATTATGAAGAAAAAATTTGGAAAAACTTTTGAGTACAAACTATTATTGAACACATTCAATAAGGGCAATGTATGTCATATTTTTTGTATCTAGCATGATTCAATGGAAGAAATGTTTACTCTAGGGGATATCATGACAATTTATGAAAAATGTTTCTCACAATATGGATGACAATGATGATGACATTGAAGAAGAAATTTTAAGTTCATCATCAATTGCTCGTCTAATGAAACATACTCAAAATATTATGTATGTTTAGATTATTATTTTCTTTTATTTTTTTTACTTTTGTTTTTTTTAATGTATTTCTAACATGTTTCTTATTTTGATTATGCACTTTCGTGCTTTTACCTTTGTTGTTTTTATTATACTTCTCATGCCTATTTATTTTATTTTTACACATAGTTATGACATGTTTTCTATTTTGATTATGCACATTTCTACTTTTACTTGTGCTCATTATAATATGCTTTTCCTGCTTAGTTCCTCTATTAATACTAATTTTATTAATGTCTTCTTCCTATAATAGATGGCATTAGGTGGTGCTGGTGGTCTGCCACTTGAGAGACCTCCTCCTTAGACCACTTTAGGAAGTAGGAATAGGACGATGAAGAAGCCAATGTCTCACTCTGATAGACACCTCACTAGCTCTATATTGGTTAGTAGCACCACCTCTAATACAAACCCTCCCATATGTTTTGCCACTACTCCGATCTGTCATGTTAATCCATTTTAACCACCAGATCCTCCCGCTACAGCCCTTTCCGCGCCAGTTTCCACTCAGGTACCAACTCCCACACTTGCACCAGCTTCCTCTTCTGATGAGTCGGGCTCATCGACTCCCACCCCTTTAAGGGAGGATCCCTCCGCCTAATACATTTTGTGTCAGAGGGAGACTCGTAATTTATCTTTAACATTAAAATAAGTTCAATGTTCATATCAATATTTTATGTAAATAATGTTTCTATTTCATGTTCATTCCCCTAGGTCACCCGTGACATGTATCATAGAAATCATCCAAAATAGATATGATCTTGGGTATCTTTCCTTGAAGCAGACCTTGATTGCGGCTCGAGACATGTGGCCCCATGAGTTTGAGGTATGATCATTTAATTTGAATTATAATACTAAATTTAAGTTATTTTGTTATACTAATCAAAATAACATAATTTTTAATTTGTAGAGGTTCTTTTAGTTGTTGTAGGAGCATCACCAACATACCGACCACGATTTTTAGGTTTGGGGCAAACATCAGCTAGGTGACATATGCTCTACAACTCGCCGAAAGGGGGAGTGGCCCATCTGGGTGGGAGAGGAGGTTTGGGCTCAACTGACAAGAGCCCAAACCTCTCCATATTATTAAAAAAAGAGGTAGATAAATTAGTAGAATAGGAGGATCAATAGGGCCATGGGCATCACATTCAATAATGGAAGTTTGTTCTCCCACACCAAGCACTATCAGGGGCTTGTAAGATTCTCTAAATATTTATAAATTCAATGATTAATGTATATATGTGGTACTTATAATTCTCCCATGCACACAAGCTTAGGAACTTGCAAAGGCAGACGTAGGTAAGGTCTAGTGGCCTTCTTTACCCTAGCCCCTCCCATGTTGGGCCTAGGGGAGAGTTTTCCCCCTAAATAAAGAGGGCGGTTCTGCCCTAGGAGCTTGGTTAGCTGCCAACCGCCATAAAGTTGCATGTACGGATGCATCAGCAACCGGGGCCTAGGGGAGAGTTTTCCCCCTAAATAAAGAGGGTGGTTCTGCCCTAGGAGCTTGGTTAGCTGCCAACCACCATAAAGTTGCATGTACGGATGCATCAGCAACCGAGGAAGCAACAGTGGGTCTCCGACCTCTCTCAATGTGTCAATGTAAGTAAGAAAAAATTGATTTTCTATATATATTTTTACTATTAATGTTAAAAATGACAGTTTTTTCCTTGGTT